TACATCTTGGTTTTAAGATTACGTCTTCTCCTTCTCTAGATATTTTGTCGAAAACAACGTACTGTGGCTGATGTCTCTGCAGAGGTTACTTGGCTCGTCTCTCTGATGAAGGAAATCGGGTTTGCGCCACCTTCTGTGCCCAAACTCTGGTGTGACAATCTGGGAGCTAAGTAAACGTCTGACGTCTGTACGTTTTAATTTACTCCGTTGGCTGACCAACTTTGTGCTTGAGGGGGAGTATTAGGAATATTAGGACTATATGTAGGACCGTGTTAGACTAGGATTCTATTAGGACTCTATTATCCATATTCACTCCCTGTACTCTCAGATATTATTATTGAATACAACACAATTATATTCTCATCAACTCCACTGAAGCTCGAACCCACACTCTCCTATATTGAAGTGTAACCTTAGTGTCATTAGACGATAAGGTCTTAGCTACCATTCATTTGTTATTCCATGCATGTTGGAATTATATTCTATTTTTATTATTTGAACCAAATGCCATGTTAAATAATTATGAGGGTATTTGGTTATTGGCTGATCAGCATAATATTGGTTGGTTTGATTAAAATTAATTGATTGACCGGTTAATAAATTATTTATAAGTGTTTGGTAAATGGTTGATTGGCTTTAGATGATTGTGTCAATCAGCCAAAAAATGAAAAGAGTGAGCGGCGTTTTTGATTAGTTGATTGGGTATATTTATTAAATGACAATTTTAGCCTTGTAACCTCTAATCTCTAACCTTTCTGCTACTTCACTATTTCTAGATATGCATTTTACATAGAGACAAATGGAGCAACATTTCTAATAGATTACACTTCAAGTTTTCCCATGTCCATCTTCATCCTCAAAGTTCAAAACTCACAAATTTAAAATAAAATAAAATAAACATCAACAACAACAACCAAATTCAGAACTCACAAATTTTTTTCTCATCACCGTCTTCTTAATCTCTCCTTCGCCATTATTGTCGTCTTCTTCATCTTTATCGCCATCGCCGGATGCTTCATTTTCTTCGACATCAGTGTCTTCCTCATCTTCTTCGCCATCAACATTTACTTCATCTTCTTACCATAGTTGTCTTCCTCATATTGTCATCGCTGTTGTGGGTAGGGATTTGGCGTATGAATTTTGAAATTTTATTCATAACTGATTCAAATCCGAACTAATGGAAATTTTATTATAATATAATAATATAAATATAAATTATATATTTAATTTTAAATGTATTTCACAATTAATAATATATTAATTTTTAAAAATCTCTTAGTTAATTATTAGTATTTTGTCTTATTTTTAGTTTGATAATATATGAAAAAAAATACAAATACTGAAATAATAAAATCATTAAAAAAAAAAAAACTTAAATTGATAAAAAAAAATAAATATATCCAAACTAATCCAAAATAATTTCACTGGAATCAAATATATCCGAATTAAATTTTGTTCGAATATTAAGTATCAAAAGAAAATAAGTTGAGAAAATATGTATGAACAAATACTACATTGTAAGTTGTAGCAGATCTAGCCCGTAATACTAAAAAAAAAATACAAAATACAAAAATGAGGTGGCCTGGTAAGTTGGGTAAGGGGGCAGTGTCATGAGTCATGACAAGAGCCGAGACTTCCATCTCGTGTGCGTACCGCGTAGCTTGAAGTTGACTTGTATTCGCAGAATATGCCTTCCCTAGATGGGACAGCCTCGTTAACCCTATTCACAACATTACCCTTTCTCAGTTGTTACCTTTTCATGCTACCATACATTTCAACTAAAATAAAATTAAAATTACACTTTTAACCTTTACACTAATACACCATTTGGTTGGAAGGAAGGAATTAGGGTAGAAAGAAATTGTAATTCAGTAGAAAAAGAATAAGGTTGGAGTAAAGTATGAATTCAAATGACAGTGTTTGGTATGCAAAATAAGATTCCAGGGAATTGAAAGGGAATAAGTGATGCAATGACTGAAATACCCTTATATACTACTACTTCTAATAATAATAATAATAATAATAATAATAATAATAATAATAATAATAATAATAATAATAATAATAATAATAATGAATTAGGAATTATTATTAGGAATTTAACCTTTACACTAAGAACTACATTGACATTTGATAAACAATTGGGAAGAAGGAATTAGGAATTATTAAGAATTGCAATTCGGTGAGAAAAGAATAAGATAAGAATAACCCGCATGTGCAGCTCAACAGGTCACGGAAGTGAAACTTTGAAAGAATGATCAGGGATCGAGTCTGAGGGGGTTCCTTGTGCGCAGTGAGCACAGGTCTAGTCTCTATGGTTCATGTTCAGTTGAGTTACCATGATTTACATCCACCCAAATGCTCTGTCGGGTTGGGGTTTAGCCTTTTGGAAGAAGAATAAGATAAGAATCAAATTACATTGTTTTGGGAGGAGGAATAAAATTATTATGGGGCGTTTGGTTCACGGAATCTTGGATTACCCCAGGTAATAGGATGTAAGATTACCTTGTGTGTTTGGTTTGGATGTTGTAATATAATATTACCTTGTTTGGTTCAAGGTTATATTTTAGGTTATATGGATCAATTTACAATAATGTCCTCAATAATATATATATATATATATATAATGTGTGTCTATTTATTTATATGTATGAATGTATATCAATGCTTAAATATTAAAAAAACTAACAGGCCGTTTGGGGGGTGGGGGGAGGGGGAGGGGGGGGGGAGGGCGAATTATGCGGGAAAGGAATTGTAATTCCATGGGAGTTGAATTACTGAGAATAAAGTGAAAATTTAAATTCCAGTGTTTGGTTGACAGGAATAGAATTACTGAGAATTTCAATTCCAATGTTTGGTATACATGGGAATTGAAAGGTAATAAGTAGTATAAAGTAAAAAATGTCCATTATTATTGTTAGACATTAATTTTAGGTTAAAAAAAGAAGAAGTAATTTTGACTCACCACTATCTTTTCTTCCCAGGAATTAAAATCACAGGGGGGACATGGGATTTTAATTCCATGAAAATGGGGGAATTGCAATTCCATGGAATTGCAATTCCCTCCAACCAAACTACGGAATTTAATGGCCTTTGGAATTAGTTAGGTGGAATTAAGTGGGAAGGGAATTTAATCCCTCCAACCAAACACCCTGTAAATATATAAATATACACATGTATATTTGATTATATAAACATATATTAATTTCATTATTATTATTATTATTATTATTATTATTATTATTATTATTATTATTATTATTTAACAAGGGCAAAGTTGGAATAATTCAAGGTAATATAAGATTACCTAAAAAAATGGGGGTAATCACATTACCTTGAAACATTACCGCCACATTGAGCTTTCAGGTAATATAACATCACCAGGTAATCTTATAACTTGAACCAAACAAGGTAATATAACATTACCAAACTCAAATTACCTAGGTAATCTAAGATGACCTGAACCAAACGCCCCCTTAGGAATGTGAATAAACAAATAGTATAAAGACTAAAATGTCCCTCTGTAATAATAATAATAATAATAATAATAATAATAATAATAATAATAATAATAATAATAACAATCACCAAGGATACTTTTGTCATTTCTTCTATTTTTTTCTTTCCCAAGCATTGAATTACAATTCATGGAGTATCTCATAAATTACAATTCAATAAAATAAAGAAATTACAATTTACTCCAACCAAACAATATAATTGAGGTATTTATTAAATTACAAATCAATTACAACTTAATTACACCAATTTGAATAATATATATGGGTATAGAAAACATCAATTTAAACAATTTAAAAATTCCGTTTCAAGAAAATAATATTTTTTTATATTGCAAGGAAATACTCCGTAATTGTTATTAAATGGCATTAGAAGGTTCTAAACAATTTTTTTCTAAACTTTAATTTTAAAGAAAATCTGAATAAACTCGGTGACATAACCAAAGATAATTAATTAACAAATGAAAAAGTCCTATCACTTATTTAAAAGAAAAAATTACTTTGAGCAAAAAAATTGAAGTTTCTAGTTTGTCACATTTTGTAAATTAATTATTCATTGCCTTGCCTTGCCTAAGTCTTAATGTCTAAGCAAGGCATCATTCATTGCCTAGCCAAATCAGGCTGGATTTTAGTATTTGTGGACGAACTGTACCCTCCATTTCGCCTATTTAGTAGGGAGTATTTTTTTTTTTTTTTTTTTGAGATTTAGTGGGGAGTATTAAATAAAAGGAAAATGCTATTTTCTCTCCCCGTATTTTCCTTTCAATGGTTTTTATTTATTAAGTAATAATGAATAATGAATTGATTGATTCCATCACTAATTAAAAAATTAAAAAATAAAATAAAATCAGAATCATAATCATATCATCATAATTATAATCATAATCATAATCATCATAATTATAATCATAATCTCTATATCTCTATATATCTATCTTTATATATATATATTTTATTAGAGAAAATTTTTTCTCTTCAAAGTGTGAAAGCATTTATTGTATTCACATTATTTTATAAATTCATGTAATTTTAATTACAAATTAAATCAACATCAACATAATTATATAAAATATATTATATATTATATATTATATATTATATCTTATATCTCTATCTCTTCTCTTCTCTTCTCTTCTCTCCTTATCTCTATCTCTATTTCTATCTATTGATTAAAGATAACACCTAGGATGAGCTAGAAATTTTTTTTTCTCATTATTGAAAAAACCTTTCTCCAATAGAAATTGTTTTCCATCAAACTAAACAACATAAAACACTATTTTCCTCACATTTTCAGGGGCAAAAAGTGCAATTTACTATAATTACGGCAAAAAATGCAATTTAGGAAAACATTTCCCAATAATAATCCTATAAGGGCAAAATTAGTTTACTGAGAAAACCGATAGCGTGTCATGTTGGTAAATTCGTTGGGGTTGAAGGGTAATTTGGAAAGATCCGAAGTCATGCTATAAATAGACCAATCACCATTTGGAAGATTATTCGAGAGAGAGAAGGATTTTTTAGTGTTGAGATACTGTAATTTTGATCGTTGTTTCGCCGGAAAGCGTTGGAATGGGGTCGCGATACGAGGTGGAAGTGAAGATCATATCGGCGAAGGACTTGAAGAACGTGAACTGGCGTCACGGTCCGGTGAAGCCCTACGCCGTCGTCTGGGTGGACCCCAAGGCCAAGTGCTCCACCAGGGTGGACGAGGAAGGCGACGCCAATCCTTACTGGGATGAAACCCTCGCGATTCCTCTCGATTCTTCCATCGAGGACTCCACTCTCTACATCGACGTCGTCCACGCCCACGCGGCCGAGGACGTCAAGCCGCTCATCGGCTCCGCCAAGATCCGCCTCCGCGACGTCGTCGACGACGCCGGCATCGGCGGCCAGGTCGACCGGAAGCTCGAGCTGAAGCGCCCGTCCGGCCGCCCCCATGGGAAGCTGGAAGTCAAGGTCAGCGTGCGTGAGCCCCGGTACCAATCCCGCGACCCGTACTACGCCCCGCCCTACGGCGTTCCCCCGCCGGCGACCCGGGAGGAGTACCCGCCCTACGGAAACCCGTACGGGGCTCCTCCGAGGGGGTATCCTTACGGCGCTCCGCCGCCGCAGGGGTACGGGCAGCCCAGCTACGGGTACCAACAGGCTGCTGGCTACGGGCAGCAGGGCGGGTACGGGCAGCCTGGGTATGTTTACCAGGAGGAGAAGAAGAAGAGCAAATTTGGGGGGATGGGGACGGGATTGGCGGTGGGTGCGGTGGCGGGGGCTTTGGGTGGACTGGCGTTGGCGGAAGGGTTTGATGCCGTGGAGGACCACATCGCCGATGAGGCCGCAGAGAAGGTGGAAGAAGACCTTGGCTATGACCCTGATGACTTCTAGATGATTAAACTCTGTTAAAATCTGGTGTTTTTTACTCTGTTTTGCTTTGCTCTCCTCTGTTTTCTATCTCCGGGTGTTTTTAACATCGGAAATTTATAATATTACTTTTTAATGTCACCAAAGTGATCTTACATGATAATGCATATGGAAGGAGTGTGAGATTTTAGGCATAATATATTAAATAAGTCGATTTGTGGTGCAAATACATTTGATTATGCTAAATAACTAAATGCCAATGGCCTTGTCGAGTGGGTCTCCTAAATTGGAGTCATGAGTTTGAGTTTCAGTAAAAGTACTATTGATTTTTTGTGCTTTATAGTAGTATAACAGAATTAGTAGTGTAGTTTGATTCTGTTAGATTTAATCTTTTAATATGGATTACTCTATGTGCATTATACAATTTGAATCTATCTCTTTATCTTTCAAAAAACCAATGTGCATTATACGATTTGAATCTATCTCTTTATCTTTCAAAAAAGAATCAGTAGAACTAAAAGAAAATACAAGTACATTGTAATAGAGTCAATAGTATTAAAAAAAAAAAAAAAAAGAACTAACAGGGCGTTTGGTTGGAGAGGGGGAATTACGTGGGAAAAGATTTGTAATTCCATGGGAGATGAATTACTTTGGTTGACAGGAATAGAATTACCGGGAATTTCAATTTCAATGTTTGGTATACATGGGAATTGAAAGGGAATAAGTAGTATAAAGTCCAAAATATTCATTGTTGTTGTCAAGCATTAATTTTGACTCATCACTAGGTTAAAAAAGGGAATAAGCATTAATTTTAGGTTAATAGGTAATTTTGACTCATCACTATATTTTTTTCTTCCTTAAATTCCAGGAATTAAAATACCAGGGGGACATGGGATTTTAATTCCATGAAAATGGGGGAATTACAATTCCATGGAATTGCAATCCCTTTCAACTAAACAAGAAAATTTTGTGGCCTTTGAAATTATTTAGAAATTAAGTGGGAAGGGAATTTAAAATCCCTTCAAACAAACGGGATGTAAATTTTGAAGTTTTGGATGACACATTTGACTCGTATTCATATTTATTTCTATTCAACTTTTTTTTTTTTTTTTTTTTGAAAATGAAGCCTACACCATGTAGTTCTTTAAAACATTATTTTACATTAAGAATTTATATATTTTTAATACCATTTATTTATATCAATTAATATATATACTTTTTATTAATGTTGAAAAAACGCTATCTAGGCGCCTGGGAACCGGGCACTCTGGGCTCCTAGAGCGCCTAGGAGGCCGACCGCCTAGCGCCTAGGTGTGATTTTTGCAACACTGCTTTTTATGCCTCAAATGTATTGACATGATAATAAACGAATAGTAAATTATACTCTTTATATGACATTTTGAATAATGGAGTTATATTATAAATTTGTTATATTTATAAGGGCCAAATTTTGTAAAACATCATAGGGAGTATGAGTAGTTTCGATATTTTAAAAAGAAAAAGAAAAGGTAACAGGGTGTAGACCAAACATTTTTGTTTGGTACAAGTATTGATCTGAATGAATAAGATAAGCACATTAGGTGGAGAATAAATAAAGTGACCACTTGGGAAAAAATGGTGGGCAAGAATCATGTGGCAAAGAAGTTTCAGTTGGAATTTAGACGTTTCAAATATTGCAACAATTGTTTTGAATTTTCGAATTTTGAATTTAAATTTATTTGTATGGAACCTCTGTTCTTACTTGTTATAAGGGGTGACATTAGGAGGATTTGAGATATCTATATTTACCATTAAATTCAATATATCATGAATATAATTAAAATGATTTGAGATATCTACATTTACCATTAAATTCAATATATCATGAACATAATTAAAAGGATTTGAGATATCTACATTTACCATTAAATTCAATATATCATGAATATAATTAAAAATTTTAACTCCCACCCTTTACTCATTGCAGGTGGACTTAGCTGAACACAAAAGTTAGACATTTACTGTTCCCACACCGCCGCTGGTGAGACTCAATCCTTGGCATTCTTCCTAAACTTTTCACTCATGTGATCAATTGAAACTAGCAAGAACCACACTAAATCATGTTAATGGAAGATTCGAATCAGGACTTCTTTTAATATGGTAGAAGTGTCAAATAAGTCGTCAATCTACTACTAATGAGTGTCTAATTCACACTTTGGATTAAAGTAAGATCTAATTTGACACATCAACTCCTAAAATTTCTTTCACTTAGTATTTTTTTTTTCAGGTTTCCCCTAGGTAACCTTTCCACAATGATGACAAGGAATTAAATAAAAATAACTTTACTAACTTGGTAATTTGTCACCTTCATTGTTGACTTTTAAACTCATCACCCATTGTTGACCTTTTTTTTTTTTCGACAAACAACACAATGGATCTTCTAGGTTATTAGTTGCTCAAGAATACATAGAATACAATGACCAAATCATCAACACTGTTGTTGGTTAATCCATTTGTAGCATCCTCTTCCTCTGGTTTGTATTCTATATACTATGATGTCTTGAGATGAATAAACCTGTCACATTCAGCTCTTACATGGTGTTAGTGTTTTAATTGCTCAAAAAACCCCAACATATAATTGGCAATATTATTATGGCAAACTAAGATAGGGTTAGCTTGGTGTCGGTTTGTTCTACAGAGGACTGATTGATCAGATACAGCAACAAGAGGGACTGACACTGAAGATCTGTTTTAAGAAGATGTTTCTTTTTTTGCAGAACGCGGTTTAAGGAGTCAGTTTTGGAAAGAAGATCAGCGTATCTGTCTTGGAAAGGTATGGACCGGATCTTTAAGATTACATTCTTCTTATATCGTCCTACCATCTACAATCAGAGATACCTATGGAGAGTGTTCTTTTTATGGAACTATAAGTATTCTTATTCGATCAAGAATTAGGGTTACGCTTTTGAGAAGAAAGAAACACTCCGACATATACTAAGAGATTACATCTTTGATTATCATGACTCTTCTCAAGACAATTTGTTCTTGTTGATTATGATGAAGAACTTGAGAAGAGATATCGTTGCTTAAACGAAAAGGACGCTAAGATCACACAGTTGTGGGAACAACTTTGGGCTGCGTCCCTGAAGTGGACTGCATCAGAGTTAGCTCTACAAGTGAAGGGATTTCATTGGACTTCTGTATGCACGGCTCTCTAACTTCAACAATCCACTAAATCTGTGTAGACTGGGTACGTACCTTGTGTGGGGCACTTGGGTGAGATTATTGTTTCTCTACCTTTGTACATTGGATTATGAGTTAGTGGATTGGACGCTTCTGTGATCGTCCCCCAGATGTAGATACACACTGTATCGAACTGGGTAAACATCTTGTGTGTTGTTTCTTTGCTGTCTGCCTTAGTTCTCTTTCTGTTATCATATCAGCTATTGATCTAACTGACTGATATCATCGTTGAATATGTCAGTCTAATCTATCAGTCATTTAAGTCCGTTAATATCCTTAAATTGAGGAAATACAAAATTACACATGGTATCAAGAGCCAATTCTCTAACCGAGATTGTTTTTTCTTTCTACCTTCTTCATCATGGCTGCATCCCAAACAACTATTATCCAAATTTATGCCACAACCCACTTCCCTATTAAACTCACTTCAACCAATTTCCCAATTTGACGAAAACAAGTAGAGTCCACACTCATAGGGCTTGATCTTGTGGGTTTTGTTGATGGCACTAATCGTGCTCCGGCCAAATATTCTGACCAGGCATCAACCACCTTAAATCCAGCATACGCAACCTGGTTCAGGCATGACCAGATTATCCTGAGTGCTATCTTAGGAAGCTTAACAGATACACCCAACCTGTGATATCATCTGTAACATCTGCATGTGATGCATGGAAGCGGTTATCCACTAGTTGCGCTGCGCCTTCCCGGGGACGTATAGTCTCGTTGAAAGCCAAGCTAGCGAAGAATCCAAAAGGCACTCGCCCCATTGAAGTGTATATGCGAGAGATGCGAGCCATTGCAGATTATTTGGCCCTTACTCAGAGTCCAATCAACGAAGAAGATCTTGTCGTTTACATCTTTACACAACTGGGTGATGAGTTTAATCCAATTGTAGCGGCTCTCCGTGTGCGGGCTGACACCATCTCATACGATGAATTGCACGATGTCCTCACTGATTATGAATGATTGTTGAAGGATAATGAGGCTGCCACACAACTCTACATGCCCACTGCTAATGCTACACAACGAAGGTTCAATGCTCAATGGTCATCATCCAACGCTGGTGTAGCTGAAGGTCAATGGCAGAATAATAATCGTCGTGGCAGAATAATAATCGTTCCACCCGATTTTGCAAGTATTGTGATTATCCTGGGCATGATACCAAGTTCTGTCGTAAACTTGCCAGGTTTTTGAAAGATAATAATATTACTGTTCTTGAACCACAGAATGGTGGACGTGCGTCTCCTATGGTGAATACTACAAATACCACTACAATGCTGACACAGTCATGGATTATGGATTCTAGGGCCTCACATCATACTGTTACTGATCCTGCGTTTCTACAAACCTGCTCAGATTATATAGGACCTGACGAGATTGTTTCGGGAGATGGTAAGTCATTAAATATTTCACATACTGGGTGTGTCTCTCTACCGTATGCAAATCGGTCGTTTGTCTTGTCCGATGTTTTGTGCGTGCCTAAGTTACAAAAGAACTTAATTTCTGTTTCTAAACTTTGCAAATCTAATCCCGTTTCGGTTGAATTCTTTGCCTCTCATTTTGTTGCTAAGGATCGTCGGTCGGGAACACACCTAGTACGAGGTCCGGTCGTGAATGAGGTTTACAGCCTTCCAGTCCAGCGTTCTGAAGTCAATGTGACTTCCAAGTCCTCAATTCCAAGGTGGCATCATCAATTTGGTCATCCATCCCATAAAGTTTTAGCCTCTATTCTAAAAAATAATAATATAAGTTTTGATCGCCAGACACTTGACTCATTTACTTGTACTTCGTGTCATATGCATAAGAGTCATAAATTGTCATTTTCTTTTAATTCAATGTCTAGTTCATAACCTTTACAACTTGTTTACACTGATGTATGGAGTTCATCAACCACGTTGATTGATGGGTTTCGATATTACATTAATTTTGTTGACCATTTCACAAAATATGTTTGGTTGTTCCCTCTTAAAGTCAAATATGATGTTCATGCCGTTTTTCTGAGTTTTAAAAATATGATTCAAAATTATTTTGGGTACAAGATCATCTCCATTTTTTCTGATAATGGTGGTGAATACACCAAATTAATTCCTACATTTAATCATATGGGGATTTCTCACTTCACCTCTCCACCTCACACTCCGGAGCACAATGGGTCTGCCGAAAGGCGTCATAGACATATTGTAGAGACGGGTATGACCTTATTAAACTATGCATCTATACTCTCTACATATTGGTCTTTTACATTTCAGGCGGCAGTATATTTAATAAACCGCATGCCCACTCCTATTCTCCAACACTCAACACCGTATCAAAAGTTGTTTAATAAAAAACTAAATTACAGGAAAATTCAACCATTTGGGTGCTTGTATTTTCCTTGGTTAAAGCCATATTTTCTGGCCAAGTTAAACCCAAAATCACTACCCTGTGTCTTTTTAGGTTACTCATTAAGCCAGTCTGCCTATAAATGCTTAGAACCGGCTAGTGGCCGTATTTATATTTCACGACATGTCTCATTTGTCACTAATGAATTTCCTTTTCAAGCGCTATTTAGTGACCAACAGAACAATTCCTCTTGGTTATTGGCCGCTGAGCAACCACCACAAATCATAATTCCGAATTTCAGTCACTCCTTACCTGTTATAGATAATTCTGACACCGCTTCTGTCTCGCCTACTCCACCATTTGCTCCGGCTTTAGATGAACAACCCACACAGCAATCTCCAAACATTTCTGCTTCCGCTCATGTGTTCTCTGATCTTGCCTTGTCTGCGGCGCAATCTCAGCTACCGTCTGTCCCTGAAGTTTCGGAGTCCTCCCAAATCTCACAGCCAAACGTGTCAGTGTCCTTACCATCTCCTGAACAGTCCGACCAACCAACTGTTGTGGCCAGGCCACGACGGCAGCGACGCCCAAATCCTAAATATTTTAATGACAAATTGGTGAATGTGACGACAACACATCTTATTGCCTCGTCTATTGAACCACGAACGGTGTCACAAGCCTTGCAGAATGAGTTGTGGAGGACTGCTATGTCTGAGGAGTTTAATGCATTGGTGAGGAATTCCACGTGGGAATTAGTCCCTCGGGCTAATCATGAAGTGGTTGCCTGTAAGTGGATTTTTCGGTGAAGCGTAGAGCCAATGGCTCGGTGGATAGGTTCAAAGCCCGGTTGGTAGCAAAAGGTTTTTTTGCAAGAGCCAGGTCGAGATTATTTCGAGACTTTTAGTCCTGTGGTAAAACCAGTCACTATTAGTGTTATTCTTACAATTGCTTTGTCACAAGGATGGTTGTTACGCCAACTGGATGTCAAAAACGCCTTCTTGAATGGTACTTTGTATGAAGAGGTCTATATGGAGCAGCCAAAAGGTTTTGTTGATTTGGTTTTGCCCAACCATGTATGCAAGTTGAAAAAGACAATTTACGGTTTAAAGCAAGCCCCGCGGACTTGGTACTTAGAGCTATCTAATTTTCTTGTTGCCTATGGCTTCAAGAAGTCTGTAGCTGATTCGTCCTTGTTTATTTATTGTACTGATTCTGTAGTTGTGAATTTCCTGGTGTATGTTGACGATATTATCCTAACAGGAAGCCACTATTTTTTCATTGCTTCTTTTGTGCGGTGCCTAGCTGATCGGTTTTCACTTAAGGACTTGGGTCCGCTCCATCACTTTCTTGGTGTTGAGGTGGTTCCTACGTTTGACGGATTATTCTTGTCACAGAGTCAGTACACGATTGATATTTTGGACTAGTTCGGTATGACGGGGGCGAAGGAAGTTTCAACGCCATTGTCACCCTCGGTGGACTTATGTGCTGATACTTCTCCATCCTTTGATGCGACGATGTATCGCCAGGCTATATGTCGGTTGCAGTATTTGGTCATTACTAGACCAGAGATTTCCTTTGCAGTGAATCGTCTAGCTCAATTTATGGCGTCCCCAGCTGAGGTGCATTGGCAGTCTGTGAAGCGAATTTTGCGTTATTTGAAAGGTACTGTTCACTATGGCTTGCACTTTCGGGGAGGTCCTTCTGGTTCTCTTTTGGATTATTCTGACTCGGACTGGGGAGGTCTTCATGATGGGGGTCGATCCACGACGGCGTATGTTATGTTTTTTGGTGCCAATGTTGTCTCCTGGAGATCTGCTAAACAACGCTTCTGTGTCTCGATCTTCTACGGAAGCTGAGTTTTGGGCGCCTGCTAACTGTGCTGTTGAGGTCATGTGGATTCAAAATTTGTTAAAAGAGCTTGGGGTTCGATTACAACGTTCACCTGTGCTGGTTACTGATAATTTAAGTGCTTCGTATGTGTGCAAGAATCCAGTTTTTCACCCCCGGATGAAACACCTGGCACTCGATTATTTTTTTGTTCGTGAGCAAGTTAGTTTAGGCTTGTTTGCTGGTTTTCGTAACAAGATTGGTCTCACTAATGGTGCGCCAATCTTGCGGGGGCGTGTTAAGACTGAGTAGTTTATTGTTAGTAATAGTATGCATATTCTTTTGGTTGGTTGTAACTAGCTTCCTCTTCCTCTGGTTTGTATTCTATATATTCTGATGTCTTGAGATGAATAAACCTGTCACATTCAGCTCTTACATTGTTCATATGCCAGTTTGGCGGAAGTGAATGTGGATGATAAGTATGCGGTACTTACTCGCGTCATCGTGTGTTAGGGCTTTTAGCCTTGCCAATGATGATTTATTTGCAAAATGTGATTTATGGGGAGGAGATTAGTTATGAATCTTATGATTCCTTGCCTAGTTTCATTTTGTTGATTATGAAGGATTCGAAGGGTTTGTTAGAGGTCAATGGAATTTGATCGGAGATGGTGGATTTAAAGAGAAGAAAGATTGTTGTTCATGTTATTGATGGTGCATGTGTTAATCGATGCTGATTTGAGCAGTTTGTTCGCCTAGATTTTAGTAGAGATTGATTTTGGTGTATATTTCTAACATATATTGAGTTTTTCATCAAATTAGCTTCTCATATAATATATTGATACACATCAATATATTAACCTAAACTTCAATTACCCAATTTCAAACTTCAAAAGTGATGATGTTGATAAACTCCCTAGGGAAGTGGTACAATATCCAAATCTTAAGCTTGAGCGTTGTTCAGATCAAATTAAAAAAAAAAAAAAAAAAAAAAAACAGAAACAAAAAGAATACAATGAAGGAAAAAGTTGCAATGATGGATATGACGGCGGCTCGGTTTGGTCTATGGTAGTGAGATTCATACCCAGTGGTTGCAAGTGCCGACAAGAAAGAACGAGTATTGCGAGTATTGAGTTTGAAGAGAGAGAATTAGTTGTAAAGTATTTTGCATTTAAAATAAATAAATATCACTTGCCACATCATCTTAACATAAAGCCAAATTATCAAAACTGAAGAGAAATGTTAAATTGAAGAAATTTTGGGACATGTGTGATTAAACCTTATTTTATCCCGCCAATGACCTTGCCCAAATTATGCTGTGAAATCGTGTTCACCTTGTCCCAAAATTGTTCATAATAATGAATATATAGTTCAAAAATTATGAACATATAGTTTTATAATTATGAACATAGAGTTGTGAACATAATTATGAACATATAGTTATGTAATTATGAATATAGAGATTCAATAATTGTGAATATGAAGTTCAAAAATTATGAATATATAGTTCAGTAATTATGAACATAAAGTTATGTAATTGTGAATATAGAGTTCAATAATTATGAATATGAAGTTCAAAAATTATGAATATATAGCTTTATAATTATGAACATATAGTTTAGTAATTATGAACATAGAACCGTGTCCACCTTGCAAGGTGAACACGGTTTCACAGCATAACGATTGATGACCTTGTGGTCAAGTGACACCAAGTTACTCCCCTATGTGGGAGGTTGTGGGTTCGAGTATCAGTGGAGGCATCTTTGACTTTTTGTGCTTCAGTAGGTTGAGAAAGTAGTTTATGAACAGATACTACATTGTAATAGAGTCAGTAGCACTCCAAAAAAAAAAAAAAAACCTTATTTTATCCCAATGTGTGAATTGAACATTTGAAAGTAGTAGATGGACTTATTTGACCCTTCTCTGCGGTGTAATATTAATATATAAGATGGTTTTTTACCTAATAAATTAATTATAATTACACCATATATGTTAAGTTTAATACAGTTTTATTTGAATATAATTAATAAAAGCAATGTTATTGAGGCTTTAATGATCAAAGCAACCAGAATCATACCTCAAGCAGCTGACTCAAGCCCAATGTCAAAATTAAACCAAATGTTGCAGCTTCAATCTCCAACCTGTTGCCTTAGCTTGCATACTCACATATGGCAGAAGTTGCAGGGCAATTTATATCCTACACCACGGCGCGCGTTGCACTATGCGCCCAGATGCAAAACGACGTCGTTTTAATTATTTTTTTTTTGAAATTTTCCACCCCAGTGAATGGCAGTAGTTTTTTCTTTAAAAAAAACCCGCTGTTCAAGAATGTACATAATGTTATACTAGAATACACATAATGTTATACATGAATGTACATAATTATATAACAAAATATACATACTCTTTTTAAAAGATAATACACATAATCTAACATAATACATAATAAACATAAACTTTTAACATAATACACATCAACTCTTAACATAATACACACAAATTTTCTGATTCGGATGTACATAATTGTATAAAAAGAATGTACATAATTGTATACAAAATACACATAACTGTATGAACCAATACACATAACGTTGTGAACAAATACACATAACGTTGTGAACAAATACACATAATCTCAGCAACTTCCTACCGCGTATCCCAACACTATCCCAAAACGACGTCGTTTTGGGAGGCGCGCGGCGCACAGTGCTATGTGCGCCGTGGTGTAGGATATAACGATTGGAAGTTGCAGCATATGAACAATAAACATAATTATGGTATTTGCGTATTTCTTAGAATACAATTATGCAAGACCTACACAATTTGATCAACTAGAAATGTTAGCAGAAAGTAAGCATACCATTCACCGAAGATGTATATCGTGTTAATGTTGTAATTGTTTCATTTTAGCTCGTGGCGTTCCTAGTTAAACAAATTATCATACGACAAACAAGAAACAATGTGCATGAAAAGAAAAGAGATTGAGACAAAGTGTAATCGCAAAGATTTTATTCTAAAATACATGTTCAGTACAAATGATACAACACATATATAGAATATACAAAGTAACAAAAATAATAATGGTAGTAATAATGTTATGACCGTTACGATCGTAATATAATTAACACATAATGTCCCCACTTAATTATATTTATAACACAAATTAAATGTCCTTTGTACTTTCTTGTCCTATATTTAAAAACTAGTATTTGCACCCGTGCGATGCACGGCCATAAATATTATTAGTAAAATGTATGGCATTATAATTATAAGTAATAGCATAAACTGTGTCTTTTATTAGACATTATTGAATACTTCTTTATATACGACATTTGTAGTTGTATTTTTTGATTGTATATTTTCGTCACAAATAATAATTTTTAATCTGCTAGGATTACTAACCCTTGACACTGCTATATACATTTGTCCATTATTAAAAACCGGCCTCTTCAAAAATAATCCGACGTTTGACAATGTTTGCCCCTGACTTTTGTTTATTGTCATGGCATATGACAACATTACCGGAAATTGTTTTCTTTGAAACTTAAAAGGCAATCTTGGATCAGACGGTGTTAAGGACATCCTTGGTATTAATACCATTATACCAGCGCTTGTTCCGCTCAATATTTGAGCTTCTAAAACATGAGTAGCCAACTTTGAAATGATCATCCTTGTATCATTGCACAACCCCAATGAGTGATCAATATTTCTCAAGAGCATAACCGGTGAGTCAACTTTTAAAGTCAATGAGTGATTTGGCACTCCAGAACATCGTAAGCCATTTAAAAACTCCGGTGTGGGTAGATCAGCAAGCATGTCAACATTGGAATCAGATTTGCTGACCGAATCACAACTGAGATAGCCAACTTTGAAATGATCATCCTTGTATCATTGCACAACCCCAATGAGTGATCAATATTTCTCAAGAGCATAACCGGCCGGTGAGCCAACTTTTAAAGTCAATGAGTGATTTGGCACTCCAGAACATCGTAAGCCATTTAAAAACTCTGGTGTGTGTAGATCAGTAAGCATGTCAACATTGGAATCAGATTTGCAGACCGAATCACAACTGAGATATGTCATTCCTTCAGCAGTATTATATTCATTCATGTATTCATTGATGTTATCTACCACGGTCATATATAGAATATATAGAATATACAATATCATATAATAAAAAAAATTTGGTGAAAACTTGTAAAAAATACAAAAACACAGCACATAAAATTTTATTACACATTATTGAATACTTCTTTGTATAGGACATTAGTAGTCGTACTGTGAGATTGTACATTTTCGTCACAAATAATTATTTTTAATCCCTTAGGATTACTAATTCTTGAGACTAAAATATAGTATAGATAGTTAAAGTATACGACATACAAATAAATAAACTTAGATTAGTATTGTCAAAATATTTTTTCTCAAATGCAATAATTGTAAATTTAAACTATGATATACTTAATAATAAAATATGTATTATTAGAGTATAATACATTATATTTTGTCTAGTTATAGGGCATGTTTTCTTTGGTTAGACTAAAATTGATTAGTTTTATTTCCAAGTTTATACGGAGTATAAAGTATCCAACATTTTTATTTCAAGATGATGGCAGATGATTAAAATTATATTATGATGCCTTATAATAATTCATTGGTAAATATTGCAATTTTATTAAATATTATTAAAATTTTCTTTGTACATAATATTTTTAGTCGTACTTAAAAATGGTACATTTCTCAAACAAATCAACATTTTTAATCCACTGGAATTGTCAACTCTGGAGAATGTTATGTACAATTTACCATAGTTAGATAGTTGCCGGTATACATTATTCTTCAAAAGCTGAAAGCAAGTCCCTAGACAGAACAGTGGATTGTGTCTTATATGGCCTTTTTTTTTTTTTTTTTTTTTTTTTTTTTTTTTTTTTGCATTCAGTTGAACCAAAACCATTGACTATTCAAAAAATCAAAAAGACAAAATTAACATTAATCATCAAATTTCCTACAAAAAATGTATAAATATAAAAAAATAATTATAAGGCATTACCCTTTGATATATTCTTAAAAGATTTGCCTTATAATTGGGTTAGAGGTACGTTACAATCTACATAAGAACAAAGATAATTTATAAAAATCAACATCTATACTTAATTTTGAATAATAAACTTTAAAGGGAAAAAAAACTTTAAAAAATATATAAACTATAATTAATTTAATTTATGACACAATTAACAAATTTAAAACCTAATAAATTATGAGTATAGAAAGTTACCTGGTAATATACAGCTCGATCTGGTCGATATTATGATTTGTAACCCGCTTAATATAAAATGATTCGAATCATTTAAATTTATTGTTTGTAACTTGTTACGGCTACTCAAATATATACCAAATGTACCTTCATTAACTACAATAACAAATTAATAATTTCAGAATCTTATATTATGTAAAATATATGTTTATATAATTAAACCTAACATTATATTATATTATATATAAGATATATAAGATATGATAATAGTTGAATAAGATTGTGAATCACATATATTCAGGCCTAATATTTTGATTATATAAATTGTTAGGCCCAAATTATTACCTCTGATATTAAACATTATTTGAGGCCCAATTATCTCTAAAATTCAAGACCCATAACCCGACCCATTAACGCAGCTGTATAACCTTTTCAAACTCGAGAAGTTTCGTAACCTACCCGACGCTTCATATTCTCTCTCGACACACCGGCAAGGAGACATTCGCTGACCTTGCTTCTACCCTAATTTCTTCGATCTCTAATCTACTATGTCCTAACACTTGCTTCTACCCTAATTTCGTCCACTAAAATTTCCATTTTGGTAGGTTATATCACAATTTTGTATCATTAATCGTGATAATAATCACGCTACAAACCCTCGATCGAAAATACCAGCTAGAGATTTTGACCGGGTGAAGCATAGATTTAGATTTACAATTCAAGTTCATCAACATGCAATGAAATCAAGGAAATACCATGAGCTAAGTTTGCCTACTCCTTTACTTTTATCAATGTTTGTATTCAAACAACTTTTTTCTTACTTTATATCTCATTTTGCAAGGTTATAGTTTTTTTCTGATAAGATTCTACTTTGTGTTCATGTGTTGGTTCCTTTCAGTTAGGGTTTTCATAATTTAGTCTAAATGTTTCGTAAATACTGTATTTATTTACTCTAGGGTTTTGTAGAAAGTAATTTGCATAATCTTAGGGTTTGGTATTAAATCCTTCATATTTTCATATATTTAACATAAATTTGAACATGCAATTTCTATAATTTAATCTCTCATCTCTCATACATATATATTTCAGTGCAGGCAAGCAGACCCAAGGGTTATACCTTACTGTATCTAAATTAAAAGCAATGGAAAGATGCAATTCGGAAGCTTTAATAAGCAGTTGAGTGAGGTAAAATTACAAATTTAAAATGCATAATTGGCATGCCTTTGTCTAATATGATATGCTTCCTCTTGCTGAACATTTTATTTGCCTCATAGTGTTCTTTTTTCTGTTGTTGTAATTCTGTTATGCTTGATAGATGTGTTTTTATAGACATACATTGAAATGATCAATGTGTGCTCTATGGTTGATTATTAAACAATGTTGTTTTGCTTTATTAAAAAAAAAAAAAAAAAAAAAAAAAAAAAAAAAAGCATACTACTTGCAATGTTTTATTTTTTCCCCTTTGAACTAACATTTTCTTTTCAAGTAGTTGGGCATATGATGAAATTTAAATTCCAATGCCATATTCATAAATTCCAATGACAGTATTGATAAATGTAGTCATTGGACTATTCACTACAACATGTTTGGCAAGTGATGAAATTATAATTCTGATGCCATAGTTTTAAGCTTTATTTTCACAAATCTTTACCTTTGGCATATGATGAAAATAGTATTGTGATGCCAAATTAATTGCCTAAATGTAATTTGTAATTTCAGAATTTTATTTTTTCAAAGTTGATTTTTATTTGTTTGCAAGTGATACATGTGTTTTTTTTCAAATTATTTGTCTATAACTGTCACTTAAAAACCAAAATTTTTTTAAAGTATGTAATATTTTTCTGAAACTGTTTTAAAACTAAAAAGATCAGTGTGAATCACTTTCTATTCTATACTGCCAGATATATTCATTTAAAAAAAAACGTTACATTCTTACCATTAAAATTAAATAAATTCGTTTATTTTGCATTTTTAGGCAATCATGTTTTTTTAAAGTAATTTTATGAGTAGTTTAAAAAAAAAAAAAGACTTTTCCTTCTACCATGTAAAAAAAATATTGAGTTCATTTCTTTTGCATTTCAACGGAATCAGGTTTTTAAAAATATATTTTTCAAAATATGAAGTGTGTTGTTAAGGATGTCTATAATATTAAAGTATTTGATGGACTAATATTTATAAAATATACAGATACATATATTACCTAAAAAATTTATTAAAGACATGTAATTCCAAAACTATGGATTTACATGTGGTTACAATAGGTATTTTAACCTGGTGTGAATACAATAGGCAGAACAATACAATGTGATAGAGTACATCCACTGCCTTGCTTTATAGCAGATTCTTCAAGACTTCATACTTCTAGCAACACTGCATATCCTGCAAATTTTTAAAGTGACAAAAACAATAGACTAATACAACAAATAAAATAATAAATACTAAACAAACCAATTTAATAGGTCCAAAATTAGTGAAAAAGAACATTACTGTTCAATCACTTTATCCAAAATGATCAGATTACAGTAATTATTTATATAAAGTGAACAATGATTCTAATGGTTTGTTAGTCTTCAAAGATTAGTTAAAACTCACCTCTTGATGTATTATAGTAGATTCTTCAAGACTTCATACTTCTAGCAACACTGCATATCCTGCAAAATTTTAAAATGACAAAAACAATAGACTAATAGAACAAATAAAATAATAAATACTAAACAAACCAATATTGCCTTAGTGTAAAAAAAAATCACAATGAGTTATAAAATTGATACTTTAGCACACACAAAACAGTTCCCCTAGAGTCAAATTGATAGCAATGGAACACTGTTACCAATTTAATAGGTCCAAAATTAGTGAAAAAGAACATTACTGTTCAATCACTTTGTCCAAAATGATCAGATTACAGTAATTGTTTATATAAAGTGAAAAATGATTCTAATGGTTTGTTAGTCTTCAAAGATTAGTTAAAACTCACCTCTTGATGCATAAACATATCAGAGATGGTACTGACAACAACATCACCACTTCTAAAATACCCAAAGGCCAGTAGACTGTGACAGAACTGTTGTAGTAGTGACCACCAGGACTTGACATAGTACACCTTTTCTTCTTCAAAAATATTGCGATATATCTTCACTTCTTCCTTTAAAATATTGACATGTATATAGGTTCCCTAAAAATTAGAAAAGTAAGATTATAAAACAGCGAATATTCAAAAATAAAAAACAGAGAATATATAGGTATATAGATTATAAAACTGCTCTTCGTATGATAAAACAGCAAGTATATTTTTGTCTAAGTTGTTTTTTTTAGGCAAATTTCCAATGAAGTACTGTTTGTATATCATTTATACATTCTCTTCAATAATCCTAGAAATTAAATAGTTGTTGCATAATGCACTATTTCCATGTCATCTAACTTAATTTATTATATATTGCCTCATTGTTATATACTTCGTATATGATATGATTGTTGCACAAAAATACCAATAAATATTTATAGATTATGGCTGGATACTGAATGGAAAAAGACTGAAAGAGGATGTTTAGAGATTAGTCAGAAAACCAAAATATTTGGCAGTGAAACCAAAACTGTTTGAAGCAAAAACAGTGAACATCAGTAGATAGATTTTAAGCCATTCACCTTTCGGTATCCATTCAGATGTAAAGACTAAAGAAGTTAAGCCATTCCATCCGTAGATAGATCGATTTTAATACCTTACTTTCACCAACAATGTGATTTTCATATATCTAGAATTATATTCTTTTTCAAAAGAAAGTTGAAAGATGATATAGAGCTTTACCCAATGTGCAGGTGTTCTCTATTGGATGCTTAATCTTCAAGAAATTGTCTTCTTCCTCGCGAATGCTTTCCCAGCGCTGTATGCATCTCCACCATTTTTGTCTACTCTCCATCTTCATGAAATGTTTTCTTAGTTGTGAGGACTTATTTATAGTATTAGAAACTGTTGTGTATTTAATGTTAGTATTGAGAATTCCAAAAGTTGTTTCAGTTGCTTTCACATATTTTGATATACAACCCTTTAAATTTCAACTTTCAAACGTTCAAATCTGAGTAGAATTAATGAATTTTGGGAAGAAAAAAAGTTCCAAACCCAATATACATTGGATAACGCAAAGGACCAAAAGCAATTAATGAAACAATTTAATTAAGCCAGATATTCATCTCCAAAACGGCGTAGTATTGTGTGGGCGGGAAAATTTTTAGGCCTAAAGTTACTGCTTTATTATAATGATAGATAGATTTTCATTTTCTTACATTTTATTTTACGTTTTCATTTCATATAAGCAAAATCTTATGTTACACCGTTTTACGGATCTTTGTCTGTAAGACGAGGCGGGTTAAATGAAAACTGCAATACTTATAATGAAAAGTGTTTGTTATTTATAAGCAAAAATGTAATACTTTTAAATCAAAATATAAAAGTATTACATTTTTTTCTTATAAATAACAATAATTTAATTTACTTTTTGATTATTATTACATTTCTCAATATAAATATTACATTTTTCATCTTGACCTAATTTGTATCACTCGAGAATCACTCTTTTATATATGGGGTGCATCCGATGGATGTGCCTAGGGTAGCACGTTACACGCTTCAAGGATGATCCTATTTTATCCACATTAACACTTCACCTATGCCAACACTTTACTCAACATCAAGGCATGACAATTGACAAGTTCCGTCCCAACTAGCACAATTTTTAAGAATTAATCAATTATGAGAAATTTGTATATACATAAATATTAACTCAATATTATTTTTAAAAGATAAATTTTATATCTCATATTATCAATCTATATCTATACTTTATTATAGTAAAAGAAGGTTATTAGATGCTTGTGTGTGTATGTCACCTATTGATTGGTTAATAGATATTCTTCCAAAAGGCTGAACCCCAACCCTAAGTGTACCCCACACTCCGACCCGACAGAGCATTTGGGAGGATGTAAATCATGGTAACTCAACTGAACATGAACCACAGAGGCTAGATCTGTGCTCACTGCGCACAAGGAACCCCCCTCACTTTGAGATAAATATTAAAATGGAAATTAAAAACCTATTTAAAATAAAACAAAAAGAATTGAGATAAATAACTTTAATTTAAAAGTTAATGTGTAACTTGTTGTTTGATTAATAAATATTAAACATTAAATTATAAATTAAATAAATTATTTAAAATAAAATAAATATTGTGATAAATAACTTTAGTTTGAAATATAAATTGAATTTTTGATCAACTAATAAAATTTTGATATATATAAAATAAAATTTATATTGTTATTATTAAAATATTAATTTATAAATTAAATAAATTATTATTTAAAAAAAGGAGAAAAAAGAAATGTAATTTTAAGCATTAAAATAAATTTTTGATCAACTAATAAGAAAGTGACATAAATATTTTAGAAAAGCTCTTTCACTGACAACAAAGTATACATGTTAGTCAAATCTATTCAAAAAAGTTTCTTAAGTTTAATAAGATTTAAAAATGAGTTAATTACCAAAATGGTCCCTTGACTATAGCGAAGTTATCAATTTAGTCCTTGACTATTTTTTTAACCAATTAAGTCCTTCAATTTTAAAAATCTTAACTAATTTGGTCCTCCGTTTGTTTGACCGTTAGTCAATCGTTAACTTGAGACCAAAGTGGTAATTTCACTATAGTCAAGGGACCATTTTGGTAATTAACTTTAGAGGTGTACAATTGGGGTTTAGTTTTCTCGAACCGAACTAGTTTAGTTCGGTAATATATCGAACAATCGAACGATATTGGATTCTTGTATACCGAATGGTTTGATAAAAAGTTGATCCAAATCGATCCGAATTGTTCGGTAAAAAATTGAACTGAATCGAATACCGTTTGATTTTTTCTTTTTTGATATATTTATAAATCAATGGATTTTCCGCAAACCAAACAAAATCTTTTCTTTTTGGGTTCTAATAATTATAAACTCTTCAAACGAGGACTATGTGGTCTAATAATACTTGGGTTGGACTTTCATTTGGAAGATTATGAGTTCAAGCCTCAATGGAGGCGTTATTGGTTCATAGAGCCAGTAGCTTTCAAAAAAAAAATTATAAACTCTTCAGTCTGCGCACGCTTTCTATTTAATTCTTACATTTCTGATTGTAATATGTATTGGTGTGGTTTGTTCAATGTTGCTGTTGGCATGTGATTCTGAGCTCAATTCTCTCTTTTTTTGGGACCTATTTCATCTTCTTTAATTATTTTGACTTGAAAAATAGATACTGGGTGGGAATGTGGAGATGTTATGTTACGTTATTGATTAATATTTTTGAGAGTTAATTACCAAAATGGTCCCTTGACTATAGTGAAATTACCAATTTGGTCCTAAGTTAACGGTTGACTAACGGTCAAACAAACGGAGTACCAAATTGGTTAAGATTTTTAAAAATGAAGGACTTAATTGGTCAAAAAAATAGTCAGGGACCAAATTGGTAATTTCGCTATAGTCAAGGGACAATTTCGGTAATTAACTCTTTAAAAATACACACATAGGTAATGGTGGTCTACTCTAATGGTGGTCTACTCTCGAAACCTCTCTTTCTATCTCACAAAATCTTACTTCTTTTCTGAGTGTTTTTTCATCTGGTGGCCGTCGGCCTTTGGCCGAAGCTTTGAGCCTTTGACGGAGCTTTGTTTCTTGGCTAGCGGTCTCCTATTTTCTTTTGTTTTTTTTATTTTTTATTTTTTAGTTTCATTATAAAGTCCATTGTCAATTCAGCCACCAACCCTTGAAGGAAGTTGCGATAGTTCTAAAGATCTAAAGCTTAAGGATTCCGCCAGATCTGCATAAAGAAGTGGTTTGATTCTCGTGGATCCGTAAAATAAAGTTCAAGGGATGTATTGCTAATTCTCTTTTCTTTTGTGTTATGCTTTTTTCTGTGTTTTTCTCTCGTTTCTGTGACGAGTTTGTTTTCCTCTCGTTTCTTTTGGCGAGTTCTTTTCTTCATAAGTGTGAAACATATAAGTTGTCATGGCGTATGTGAACATCATCCTGGGTGACAAAGATGACAATGTAAAAGAGCATTTGCATCTCATCTCAATGGATATATTGTCAATGAACGGCATATGGAAAACATATACTCAGGTGGTGTGCAAGATTTTTCAACCAAAGTTAGTCTTGACTACGTTTCATCAATTCTTCAATGATAATAAAGAACCGTTAAATTCATCTAACGAATTCAGCTCTAAATTTGTGAAACAGTCTACGATTCAAGTTCTTTATAACATTGCTAGAGAAGTTGTTTCTATGTCTGATTGTAAGAAATAGTATACCGTTTCCTGATCCTATTTGTAATCGCTTCGTCTTATGATTAAATGAATGAGCTTCTATTTATTTTCCAAAAAAAAAAAAAAAAAAAACACACACACACATATATAACGATATTTTTGCATTAGATAAAAATAGAAATTTCAACAATTTTGACCACTCATATAAAAGTTATTAACGTATTATAATACACATGTTAGCCATCTCTATTAAATAATAAAATAAAAAAAATTTAATGGAGGCTGTGGAGAACTAATTGTTATAAACAAATAAACACTAGATATATACTGTGATAAAATAAAAAATATGATTAAATGTTGCAAAATGATACAATACTTGAGAATTAAAAGTAAATTTTTATTTAAATATTATGTAGTACATTAAAGGTAATTTATAATTTGAAACAAAAATAACAATAATGAAAGTGGGATGGATAATGGATTACTCATCCTGCCGCCATTATCAAATCTCCATTAAGATTTCGACGACTTAGCGTTAAAGTTGCAACTAGCAGCTATCCATATATAAATAAAGATTTTTTTTTTATTTTACTCAATATGGACAGATTATTTGTGCACGACATTTGATCATGTTTGCTGAGTCATTGAGTCACCGTAATTTATATCTTTTCAATTATTCAATCAGGCTGGGAAGTAAATCCTTGGGTTGGGATTCAACCTTTTCGGAGAAGTTAATAAAATAATATCATATGATCGATTTGAATAATTTTGGTATAGAATATTTAAAGAATGTAACAATAATATTCTTAAATAATTTTCTTGCTATGTTGATAACTAATTTAAACAACTTTTGCAATATGTATATAATTATAAAAAAAATATTTAAGCAAATACAAATCATTCACTTTGTTCAAAATGACTTAGACTTGATTCTTCCACAGTGGGTGATATGTTACAAAATGTAATATAAGTCATTTTTAAGTTGGTAATATGTTTTAGTTTAGTGTGCTCTTAGCCTCATCAATAATAATAATAATAATAATAATAATAATAATAATAATTATTATTATTATTATTATTATTATTATTATTATTATTATTATTATTATTCCAAAAGGCTGAACCCCAACCCTAAGGGTCCCCCACACCCCGACCCGACAGAACATTTGGGAGGATGTAAATCATGGTAACTCAACTGAACATTATTATTATTATTATTATTATTATTATTATTATTATTATTGGTGCTCTTCAAAAAATATTTTTTTTCGAGAGACAAATAGTTTGTGGTTTGCCTTCTAAGAAAAATCAAAAACAAAAAAATTAATCCAATTATTTCTTCACAAAACGTAATAAATTAGTATCACTTTTCTTGTAAGCAAAAACCATTATATTATTCTTTTGATTTTAACACATCTTTGATCTTCCCAGCTATAAAAGAGAGAAAATTCTCATTTGGGATTCTCCGATTTCTAGCTAACTTCTTATACTATATAGGTAGCTCCAATAATTTCCATAGATGTTAAATGATATTTAGATTCTATAACCTCTTATTTATTTATTTATTCATTGGTCCTTTTATTTTGTTTATTATCTTTTTTAATAAAGTTTTAGTCCATAAAATCAATAAGGAATTTATTTATCTATTTTCTTGTTTTTTCAGCGTTGAAATTAAAAAGATGAGAATTCGCTCAAGAATGCGTAAACTGTTTGCCATGAATGGTAAGCTTATATATGCAATCATTACTGGATGGACCGTACTATCAAATAATGTACTTTCAATATATAAATAAAGTACTTTCAGTATATTAAAAATATACATTATATTCAGAAAAAAAGTATATTATTTGAGTACTAAAAGTACATTATTTTATATAATGTACATTTAATACACAAATAATATACTCTTAGTATATTAAAAATGTACTTTTTATTATGGTCTACTGAATAATTAACATTTATATATGCTAATTTTTTTTCCACCTTTCTTTATAATACTGATAAGTTTCGTGAATTATAATGTTGTGCAGCAACTGGGATTAATAACACAAATCATGTGGATTTGGACCTCAGGGAAGAGTATGCTAATGCTTTCCGAACCGAGTCCTACATTGAGTTTTGGACAAATGTACTTGCATTTAGCCAAGGAAATTCATCCCCGTGTAATATAATGGGATCTACTTCTTCTACCCGACTATTATCATATCGACTCTTTGTAGAACATCTGTTAGATCCGGATCAAGTTACGGTCACTAGGATACTTGAATCCACCCGTATCCGGACTGAGCACCGCTCTTTACTAATCAGTTATTTCGAAGTAACTGCCGAAGCCTCGTTGCTTTGTAGTTTTTTGCTAAAAGACGTCGATGAAATGCGCAGAAAATATAAGTCACTTAAGGCCTCTCTAAACTCGTTCCACAATGCCCATTTTTCACCCAAAACTCGCTCCCCTAAACTTGTTATGACCCGGCTCACTGAGTTCTCTAACTCGCCCAACCCATTTGTTCCATCCGCTTCATCCCCGAGTCGATTCCGGGCGATGCAAGCCGATTGCGCCGAGTTGCTCAAGAAACTCGAGCTGAGCCGCGACCGGACCCAATCTAAGCTCCGCTTAGTGAGAAAAATACAGCTCGGCTCAGCCATATTTTTAGGGGCTTTAACTGTGTCCCTCACAGTGGTTCTTGCGGTTCACGCCATAGCCATTCTAGTGGCGGCTCCGAGCTTAATGGCGCCTTTCATTGAGCGGCTCTCGACTAAGAAGCTGGCTAAGTGGTCCACTCAGCTAGACGTAGCCGCAAAGGGTGCTTACATACTAATCAAAGACTTGGATACTATTAGCCGGCTGGTGGCTCGGCTAAATGATGAGCTGGAAGACATGCACGTCACTGCCCGATTTTGGCTTGAGAAAAGCAAAGATCAGCTCCAAGCCGGTGGAGAAGTGGCGGCGCAACAGCTAAAGAAGAATGACATAAGCTTTATTGAGCAGCTGGATGAATTGGAAGAACATTTATACTTGTGTTTCATGACCATTAATAGGGCTAGAAGCCTAGTAATCAAAGAAATTTCAGAAACGGGCCGCCCGAATCTACCCTCAAATTTGTTACCCAAAGAATAATTGATTGCATTTGTTATTAATTATTCAATTCGTCTCATTTTACATGTATTGTTTTTTTTTTTTTTTTTTTTTTTTTTTTTTTTTTTTGTCTCAAAAAGTTATCTTCTTTTTAATATTGAACATCATCACCATCATTCTATTTTTTTCAATTTACTATTAGAGCATCCCTATCAATGATTTTATGGTGAAGTTTTTGAGAAAACAAAAATGATGGGGAGGTGAGAGGGTGAGGAGAGAGAATTAATGAACTTATTGCAGTAGGATTGTAGGAGTGATGTTTTACTTTGAAAATGTGGGGCCTGCCTAGAGAAGAAGAACTGCTTAAGTCGTGTATTCTGTGCAACTTGCGCGCTCAGCGACGTGTAAAATCTTCTATTTTTTTTTTAGTTGGTAGACTTGTTTTTTTTTTTTTTCTCCCCTCTCATCTTCTCTTTCTGAATCACACCTGCAACAACTTCTCAAAAATCACAACTGTGGGGATGCTCTTATGAGTTTTGCTTTCTTTATTGCTTTCATTTGCAAAAGGGAGAAAAGTGAAGGGCATAATTAGAAAACACATAGGGGTCGTTACTTCATTTATCTATTTTGCAATTTTCAGTTTTCCATTTCTCCATTCTTTCAGGTTTCCATTTCTCCATTCCTCCAATTTTTCATTTCTCTAATTTTCTATTTTATTAAATACAATCATCCTATATAGCATTTGTACATTTCTACAACAAAGATAACAACAACAACAACAACAACAACAATAATAGTAATAATAACAATAATAGTAATAGTAATAATAATAAGAAGACTTTAATGCTTTCAAAAAAGAAGAAGACTTTAATAATAATAATAATAATAAATCTGTGCATTAGGAGAAAAAAGGAAAAAGAAAAAAAAAATAATAATAATAACAATAATTGATGGGGTATGAACACAATGGGTTAGAGGTCCAAGAAAGAGGGATGGATCAAAGGAATGGGCCTGCTACCATGAGCCCGAAGAATAGGGAGATACGACCCATGGGCCTTGGGAAGACCATATGAAGAGCTCGGACGAGTATGAAGCCGAGTACCGGGGGTCGACATCGACGAGAGTCAGCTCGGCAGGTGATCGTTGCCACTTGAATGCCCGTCATTAATTTGAGTTCATCCGACCATTGTAGGAGCTTGGAAACGGCGACCCAACGGCTCTAGGCCTTTATTTCCCATTATTGCAAATTGAAACTTGTATTTATTTAATATAGGCTGGACACTTATAAATAGGTGTCCCCCAAACGTGTAAAGAGCAGTCTTGCTAGTAGGCAAAAAAATACTCGGAAATCAAGACAAAATTACGTGTTACCTAGCCATCTTTCTCTTTCAAAGTCATTTTACCCTCTAGTTTTTCGGTGAATCCACCTGTCTAACGGATTGTGTTGGACCTCCTGGTCCCAAAAACCCTAAAATCAACAACAATAACAACAACAACAACAACAACAACAACAATAATAATAATAATAATAATAATAATAATAATAATAATAATAATAATAATAATAAATTTGTATGCATAAAGAGAAGGAAAAAGAAAATAAAAAGATAATAATAATAATAATAATAATAATAATAATAATAATAATAATAATAATAATAATAATAATAATCTTATCTTATAATTATAATAAAGCTATATGGTTTGGGAAGTAATTAATGTTACAATTAATGCCACAACACCCTTTATTATTAAAAAAAAAAAAAAAAGCACAACATTTGAAAAGTAAAATAGCTATATATTATATAATCTATATAAAAAAATGTACTTTTGAAAAATAAAATAGCTATATATTATATAATCATATAAAAAATGTATTCAATTAGAGTTTAAATTTACTCATACAAAATTTGAAATTTGCTTTCCAAATGTAATTATCTTAGTTATTATTTGTATTGTGAAAATTATAATATAGATGAAATACAATTAAGAATAAATCAATGTAATTATATAAATTCTCTCTATAAGTTCATTTGAATATACACATAATTAGAGATTATATTAACCATACAAAATTTTAATTTTAATTTTGTATTCTATAAAAATAATAAATACTTGACTAATGGAAGCTCAAAAATATTATTATATTAAAAAATTTAAAATATTTTAGTTTTTCTATTTTTTATTTATATTTATAATAACATAATTTTTTCTCGTGCATCGCGCAGGTGAATTACTAGTAATAATAATAGGGGAATGGGACTGGAAGGAAAACGGGAATGCAAAGAGGACATAAGAGAACGTAAAGTGTAGCCAGTTGGATTAATCCATTGACCTCCAAAACTTCGTACTATTCATGCATGTGTTTGCCATTTCTTCATTTAGAGAGGTTGCTTGCCAACTTCTCCAAAATTCTTAAAAAATAACGAGAATGAAGGAGGAGTAAGCATTTGAAAGAAGAAATTTAGTAAACAATTTCTCTATTTTTTTTTTTTACTTCTCAATTTTTCATTTTTTTGAAAAATTTTCCATTTTTTCAAGTTGGTAAACGACCGCATAACATTTATTTTAATTCTTTAAAAAGCATGCAAAAAGTAAATATGACAACTAATTTGGAATGGAGAGAATATTTGGGACCGTTTACTAACTGGAAATTTCTGAAAATTTTCGGAAATTGGAAAATAGAAATCAGAAAACATGTTTACTACACAGTTTTCAAATTTGAAATCTGAAAATAATTTCTGAAAAACTGGAACACACTTAAAAACTATTTTCGAAATGAAAAACAGAATCATCTATCATCTATTTAGGGTCCGTTTGGAAAGTAGGAAAATGACTTCTGGAAAATGTTTTCTGGAAAATGAGTCATTTTCCGGAAAACATTTTCCTTTCCAGTGTCTGGTTGCATTATGGAAAACTGTTTTTCTGTGTTTGGTTCATTTTCTGGAAAATGAGTAGAATTGTATAATTAAACATTTTAATTATTTTATTTAGAATATTACAACATGTATAATAATATATAATAATATAATATTAATTTTAAATATAATAAAAAATAGCTAAGTTTTTCAAAAAAAAAAAAACTAATAATATATCAAAAATATTATGGTGGTGGTGGTGGTGTAGTGGTAGTGGTGTTATTCGTTATATAATAATAATAATAATAATAATAATAATAATAATAATAATAATAATAATAATAATAATACTTGGTGGTGGTATGACGGTGGTGGTGTGGTGGCGGTGGTATGGTGGTGGTGGCGACAGTGGTGGTTGCGGTGGTATGGTCGTGGTGGTGGCGGCGGCGGCGGTGTAATGGTGGCGGCAGCGGCGACGGTGGTTGCGGTAGTATGGTGGTGGTGGCGGCGGCGGCGGTAGTGGTGGTTGGTCTGATGGTGGTAGTAGTATGACGGTGGTGGCAGTGGTCGTGCGGTGGTGGTGGTGGTGGTGGCGGCGACGGTGGTTGCGGTGGTATGGTGGTGGTGGTGGCGGCGGTGGTTGCGGTGGTATGGTGGTGATGGCGGTGGCGGTGGTATGGTGGTAGTGATGGCGGCGATGGTGGTTGTGGTGGTGGCGGTGGAAACGGCGACGGTGGTTGCGGTGGTATGGTGGTGGTGGTGGTGGTGGTGGTGGTGGCGACGGTGGTTGCGGTGGTATGGTGGTGGTAGTGGTGGCGGCGGTAGTGGTGTTGGTGTGATGGTGGTGGTGGTGGCGGCGGCGGTGGTGTGAAGGTGGTGGTGTGGTGGCGGTGGTGGCGGCGGCGATGGTGGCGGTGGTATGGTGGTGGTGGTGGTGGCAACGGTGGTGGTGGTGGTGGTGGCAACGGTGGTGGTGGTGGTGGTAGTGGTAGTGGGTGTTGGTGGTGGTAGTGGTGGTGGTGTGATGGTGGCGGGGTTATAGTGGTGGCGGCGGCGGCAATAGTGGTGGTGATGGTGGTATGGTGTTGATGATGTTGGTGGTGGTGTGATGTTGGTGTAAAAGTTGGAAAATGACTTCCCCCAAAAAAAAAGGGGAAGTCATTTTCCTCCAAAACAAGCCTATTTTCCAAAGTCAACGGAAAATGATTTCCGTTGACTTTATTTTCCAGGCACATCCAAACACTGAAAACTTGGAAAATGATTTCCATAACTCATTTTCCAGGTTTCCAAACACACCCTTACTTTACTTATTTAAACATAATTTATTTGCTTACACTTTAATGTTAGACATTATTTACATTATCAAAATTAAGAATTAAACTCTATATAATGTTTTAGATTTTGATTAAACTCAATAGATTATTAGTTCGAATATTTTTAATTATGTTACATCATAATACAAGTTCAGTCCAGATATCGGATATTGAAATCTCACATATATTAGAATTCAAAGTAAAAGTTATATATTCATATGCATGTCATTCAAATAAATATATCTAAAAAAATATTTTAAATATTAGTTCAAAAAATATTAATATTATTCAAATTAAATTTTAATTAGGTGAAAACTGAAGAATTAGAAAATAGAAAACAGATAACAGTTTTCAGTTAGTAAACAAGTTTTCTACACAGAAAACAGAGAATGAAAAACAGAGAATGAAAACTGAAAAATTAGAAAATAGATAACAATTTAGAAAATAAATAATAAAGTTCATTTTATACCCTCTAATTAACACAATCAGCTAACAACTAACAACTAACAACCATTTTACCAAACTAGAAAATAGATAACAATTTAGAAAATAAATAATAAAGTTCATTTTATACCCTCTAATTAACAATTTAGAAAATAAATAATAAAGTTCATTTTATACCCTCTAATTAACACAATCAGCTAACAACTAACAACCATTTTACCAAACAGGGCCAACATATATAAATCCTTTTTATATGAAAGTATCAACCATTTTACCAAACTTTACCTTTTTATATGAAAGTATCAACCATTTTACCAAACTTTACCCTCTGACCATTTTACCAAACATGGCCAACATACTAAAACACAAAGAACCAATAACGTCACACTGAGGCTCGAACTCATAATTTTTCAAATGAAAATCCAACCTGGATACTATTAGACCAC